ATGTTGCAGTAATCTTGCCGGCATCAGAGAAACTGTAACGTCAAGAAAAAAATAAAAATAAAACAAATTTGTAAATTTATTATTTGATAAGGGAAGCATTTACTTTTTACTTTGGTCCTAATTGGTTTGTATGGATATATAATAATTTTATACAAATGTATTGAGGAACTGATTTACCTGAACACAACCTTTGGTGGGTATGTAGGAGATCACCATCCCCCTTCTTAAAAAATTCTTAAAAATCATCCACCATCTAAAATGAACATCCCCCCATACCATCCCCTTTAACATGCTATTACTGAATGTGTAAAATTTCTACTATATATTAACAGTAATGGCAATAATATTGCCCTTTCAACATGTGATGGGCTGTGGGCTTACAAGTAGCATGAGCAAAATAAATAATATCAAAGAAGTGGCCTACCGTGACTATGAAGCTGATCCCAGTGGGAAATTAGTCCCTAACTATGTAGGGGCAGTGATAGCCATGCCAGTCCAGTGACTGACTGCAGTTTCTACTGTAAAGTGCCTTGGTCAAGGTCAATAACCTGCATACCTGACATGTAACAACTATACCATGCATATTGCTTTAGGTTAATAGACTATATTAATTAGGCTAAGTATGCTTCCAAAAAAAAAAAAAAAATCAACCATCCCCCTTCTTTATTTTTTACAACTAGACTGGGCCAATACTTTAAAAACCAATAGCAAATTAAGAAAAATACAGAAAGATCCAGGGGCAAGAACAGGTCATGTTTGCAACAAATTATGTAAGAAGGGAAACAAATTTGAAATACTGTTTTTTTTTTAGTTTTTTACAGCACTAGTGGCTTGTTTTTATGGACAGTAGGCTGACAGGAAAGGGGGTATGAGAGCAGGGGAGAGACATGCAGGAAAGGACCACAGGTCTGATTCAAACCCAGGTCGCCCGCATCAAGGGCTAAGGCCTCCATACATGGGTGATGTGCGCTAACCACTGCGCCACCAAAGCATACCCATGTTGAAATACTCTTGTCAGATGCGTCAAAGTCATTGAATAAAGATGTGCCAAGATGTGACAAGGTAGCTGCTGGGACTAAAAGATGGATGGATGGAGCAAAATGCAGGACAGTCTTAGAAAGATTGACTGTTATAGGCTGCAAAAAAACTTCAGACCGAAGTTGAGAATAACCTGTTAGTATGACAATATTCTCTGATACAACCAGAGACACAAATATATTCTATTAAAGCATTTTGATGTGGAGAAAACATTCAGTCATAGTCCAAACTAATATACAAGAGAAAACTTGTGGCAAACTGAAAAAAAAAAGTTTTACAAATACTTTAAACGAGCTGACTATGTTGGACCTATTTTGTAAAACATATGTGTTGGTGGATTAATATCCTAGAAGATGTATAGGCGTACTAGACAAGCCTGAGCAGTAATGCATGCTCCATTTTACTGACTTTTAATAGTAAAAAAATAAACCTGAGTTATACCAGACTGCACTAAATGTTCTTCTCTGCCAAAAAAAGTTAACGTTTGCAGTTGAAGTTAAATCATATGGAGGCTAAGTGAGATGCTTTGGTTGCAAAAATGATCAAGACTCATGACATACTGGATTATTTATTTATCATTTGTTTTTTTATTTGTTCAGAAGAACAAGCATAATGTCTTACCTGTGTTACCACCTGAAAAAGGACACTTGGCATCACCTCCCATGGTGGCTGCATGACTGTGTCCCAAACCTACAGCTTCCTCCTTGCTAGACGTTCCAATTTCTTCAAGCTCCGCAATGACCTGAATACAAAAATATCCTGATTTTTGCTTTATTCCCGTCTCTATTATATCCCTCATTCAAATGTGTTTTTGTTACATGTATGTTTGTTTTTTCTTCAATAACTTAGCAATCATCCATCCTGCTAGTTGTCTCACCTTCAAGGAGAAGTCATAGGCTCTGACAGCTTCTTCCACAATGCTTACTTTGGTCTCCATCTCCAGGTCCACCTCATTCAGCTTGCTTCGGTAAAGCTGCTTAAAGCCCTTTTGACTGGTGATTCCTTCAAATGTGTAAAACTTCAGACCCTCCCCTGTTGCAGGGAGCTTCAGGACCTTCTTGGCCACATTATTGAGGAGGTGTCCACCTGATAGATCTCCAATGTAGCGAACATAGCAATGAGCTAAAAGCATCCCCGGGTCTTTCTTTCCCACCTCACGGATCCGCTTCACCCAAAGCTTTGTGGCTGCAGAGGGGCTTATCTGAAGGAGAAAAAAATAACAAATAAGGCCCAAAAGAGATAATTACTGCATGTTTGTGGATTAAACAGTGTTTGCTCACCAGGCTCTCCCAATCCGCTCCATAGAAGTACTGCAGGTCCTGGGCCAGGGCTTCACGGCGGTAGAGCTCCGTAGGAAAATAGATCGGAGCAAGGTAAGGGTGGTCTTTATTCCGCTCCAGCTCATCCTCCATGGCCGAATAAATAAAGTACAGAGCTTCAATGCCTTTCTGTTTATATGCAAAGAGGTAGAAACAAAATTAAGTTACAGCTACACTCTAGAGAGAAAATGCTGCTCCAACTTAAATTAATTACTTCAATGGTAACAAGTAATTAAATGAAAATTGATCCAACTTCATTTATTAAATTCACAAGTTGAAACACCAATAGATTAAGTCAAGTAAATCCAGTTATAAATTTAAGCCATTAATTTAAGTTGGAGATGCAATTTCCTTTTTGGAATTTGCATTAAACATTAAGTTTG